ATATCAATTTTAGATGAAAATTTTAAAATACCATATATTTCTATATAGAAATGATCTACATTACCCCCTACCCTTAAATAAAAAACTTACAAATAAATTCTGAATATGATAACTAGTATAAAACCTTTAAGCAGACTATAAATTTAAATTAAACAATAACCGAAGTTGTATAAGTAGTTAGTTGTATATTCGTTAGTTGTATATTCTTTCTATAGTTGATCTCTTTGATTATTATAAAACTATTAGTTGAATATACTATCAATAAAATTCTATATTACAAGTACTTATTTTAATATTAAAAAATATATCTAAGATAAAATAATAATAAAATTTGATTTTATTATTTAATCATTATTTATCTTTTAATTTTTTTTATTTTATTTTTTTAAATGCCAACTTATAGACATGATCACCCGCAAATAGCTATTTCTGTTTCGAGATTCACGATTTGATTGGCTAATAAACATGTAATATACTTACGTAGTATTTGCATTTGACTAAAATTGTAAATTTTCTTCTATTTATGTAGTAATTTTTAGAAAGTACAACTTTAGAAAAAATGTCACCTAAATACTGCTTCAAATGCCGTGTAACATTTAACAGTATCCCGAAAAAAAACTTTAAACCCCAAAATTGCGTTACAATTAAGCAATTTATATTAACTCAATGTAATAAATACGATCATGACATTTTTATTGTACCAAATTTACAATCATTGATTCAAGTAAAATTATAGTGTTTTGCAGTAGATATAAAATCGATCTATTTGTGCGTGAATGTCACTTTGGATAGATCAAGTGTCAAAAAGTTTTAAGCGGTCCTCAAAATGCCAGCGTTCATCAACTTTTCGATATTTGCTTTCACAGTAGGATTCTTGAGATGTCTACACAATAAAATAATCATCAGTTTTGGCAGAATTTGATTGCATATGTTAAACTAAATAAATACACACTCTCTTAAGGCACCCGGATCTTCTTGGCCTTGTTGTAAAATCTGTTGCATAACGGGGTCTTGGAGGATTCTCTAATTGGGAAAAAAAAAAAAATGTAAATAATTTAAAATAATGCTCTTTTTCATACTATCAAAATTATCATTAATGTACATACCATTATTTCTGGATCACTAGCAGCCTTGCGAATTGTCTCTTCTACACTTTCTGGACTACTCTGATACATTGCTTCTTGACATTTTCTAATCTGCTTTTGAATTTCTGATGCATGTTTTTTTTCCGTATCATAGTTCAGCGCAGTTTTACAAGTCTCTAAACATTTTGAATAATCTTTCTTTAAAAACTCTACCGCTGCCTTCCTAATATAGGCTTTAACTGTAATTAAAAAGTGTTATTATTCTATATTGTATCAATTAAACGGTATAAGGCACGATGAATACGTTACCGAAGGTAGGATCAAGGCTGATACAAGTCTCACAATCTTTCAACGCTTCTTGGAATGCCATTAATTTTGTATAACAAGCTGCGCGATTACTATAGGGTTTTGGATCGTTCTCATTACGTCTAATCGCTTCTGTATATTGTTGCACGGCACCTGCAAAGTCATTTTTTTTGAAAAGTTCATTTCCGGCTTCTCGAGCTTTTTCAGAAAGCTCTGGATTATAATATGCTTCTTTTTCTTGTTTGACTTTCAACTTTTGAATTTCGTTAGATTTAGCAAGTATTTCAGGTGTTCGATGTTCAGCTAACGACTTTCCGTAATATTTAATTGCATCATCCAACTTATCAAGTTTAACATACGCGTTTCCGATTCTTCCATAAGCTCTTTAGTATTTTGAAGCATAATGAGTTGACCAATAATATTGTAGACGTAATTGACAAGTAGAATACGTTGACTTATTATTACCGAGCAATTAATTTAAAGTCTGCGCGATTTTCACGACCAACATCGACAGCTTGCTCACAAATTTTAATGCATTCTTCATAATTTTCTTGTTCAAATAATACGGCTACAAATCGTATAAGAATATAATATTATTATATATTTTTAATAAAAAATGCGAATGATAAAATTAAATCTTAACTCACCCGCCTTATTGGTCAGAATAGAAACATTAGTAGGATCCAACTCCCAAGCCTTGTCATAATGTTGTAATGCTGCTTCGAACTCCCGTTTTTTATATGCTTCATTACCAAGATTTTTTTCTTTGACGGCTTCTTCTTTCTTAAGTTCTTCTTCAGACTTTTCCATCAGGAAACTTTTTTGGCTGATTAATAACAATCGTCCCTAAAAATAAGCATGCCACTCATAGGAAGACATTCATATGATTGGTTGATTTTTATCGATTGCCCGTGATAATTAGCCAATCAAATTACATAATTTTTAAATATTATAATACTACTAGAAAACTTCGTTTAAAGAAGCTTACAAACCAATGCATACAAAAGAATTTATCGCATAAAGTTAGAGGGCAGATAGATACGCATAAAGTGTGATAAATATGATATTTATTATTAATAAACCCGAACCCATTAATGTGTTAATAAACCATTATTTATTTATCTTCGAAAAAATTAAAATAATTCAATATTATGGTGATAAAACACGACCTTTAGCCCATAATGCTCATATACATATTATCAATCTACTCTTAATCCGAAGTTACTAATGTTTTAACTCTAATATTCAGAATACAAGTTTAGATCTTAAACGTAACGTCTGGGTGCCGTACAAAAAAACTGACCCTAGCCGCCGCACCACTAATGGCCGTGATCTACAAAAATTTGGCTTGCATTACATAATTGTTGGCCGGAATTAACTTTTCAACTTTTTTATTCCGCACAATGGTAAAATTGGACCAGGAACATTACCAGCATTCATTTCGTTAACCAACTTTATTATTTTATATTTTCCAACACAAACTAAAACAACTAATCACAATAATTTAAACCAAAAGAACTGCATTGATACAACCATCGTTTTCTGGATTATTTGTGACTTTTAATGAAATAAGATTAGTTAATTATTAATTTACATAAAAATCATCATTAAAATGCCTACCTTGCGCATATTTTCCCCACACAACTTTACCCGAAGTTGTTACAAGTCCAAGTTCAGAAACATTTATCTATAATTAAAGAAATTAAAGAAATTTATGTCAACTCCTTAAAATCAATTTTCTAAAATCAACTAACCTCTATCACTGTGCCCTTTGTAATTACCCCCAGTTGTGTGTAAAGGGGACTTTGAGGATTTTTCTTTACGCTAATAATCGGTAAATAGAATGTCGCACTCAATTCCGGATGTGTGACATGTGCTTTCTTATAACGTAATGCCATCGGTCTAATAAATCTTTCGTATTTTGGTGGTTTACGAGTAAATCCCTCACCAACAAATGTTGCCTTTGTAACCATGCGCTTCCATTGCTTTGTTCTGTTTTTTCCTGTTTTTATAACTCTGAACATCTCATCTTCAGCAATTCCCCGAACTTTAGGCAATGGTACTGTCCATTTTCCAGCCTTTTCTTTACGTTTTTGTTTTACCATATTTGATAATATTTTGGCATTCTGTTGTCCTTCACGATCTAATAAATATGTAGGAATTGCACCATCTGGAACCGCCTGTGCATCATTTTGTTTAGCAGACTTTTCTTGATGCTGTTTGATCCTTGAATTTAGAGAGATCAAAGTATATTAATATAATCTACACTGGCCAAATTATTGTAAATATAAAGTTAATAATGCATACATCTTTTTCATTTGTATCTTTTCTGCGTGACGTTTTCTATTATATAATTTAGCTCTAAAGCCGTGAACCTTTTGAGCAAATGCGGAGGAACTGTGCGCTTCACGAGCAAGTCTTTTCCGCCTTTTTGTTTTTGAAATAAGAGTAAATACAAATTTTTGAAATTTTTTACTTTAATTGAATTAAACATTTACTTGCGCTCTTCATAATCCAAACGTCGACCATGTCGTTTTATCGATTCTTCAATATATTCGTTTTGTGGCTATATAAATAATTAGAAATTTTAGAAATTTTAGCGAATTGTATTAGATCTAAATGATTTTTTTTTACATACCATGTTTTTCTAATGGGTGAACTGAGTCCATCTATTTATATATAGTATATTTATATATAGTAAGAAAAACAGATCTAGATATCCGGAAAAACCTCGTGACATGTTTCAAAACTATAAATCTTAAAAATTGACTGCATATAATCCCAAACTCTGGCCAAATCCCAAATCCCATCCCGATCTTTATACATTTTATTGTCCGGAGCGAAATGAAGGACTTGTACTTCTATGCGCTTTGATAACTGAAATTTAACTGAAATTACGTTTGTGATAGAATTTTTTAGGGGCTAAGTTATATAAAATTTTAAGCTTTGGGCTTTTACTGGGTTTCAGTTCCTAGTATATATCATTTTATATGTGAGGTGAAGTCAATAAAAAAAGAATAAATTATAAATTTTTTCAAAATTAAGTTTTTATATTTATTAGATTAATTGAACTTTTTTTTTTTTTTTTTTTTTTTTTTTTTTTTTTTCCCCCCCCTCTCCGCGTTGGCGGTTCAAGGTCCATTCGCTCTGTCCCCGCTCCCCACACCGCGCGTCACATCGC